TGATTTTTAGTATCTGCGTGTGTGATGTATTGATGTATCAGATGGGAGAGGTTAGGCAGTAATGTAAAACTCCTTTACCCATCCGTCAATCCTAGATTTGTGTGGTAGTTTAACTCGGTCGTTTATCACAACAGTTCAGGCTCAGAGGAGTAGGCAAAGGAGCAGTTGTCCCTACTCCTTTGCCTGTGTAGTAAAGTGTCAAGGAATTGGTAGTAAGTAGGTATGATGATATGTCCTTGAGCATTCTCTGTTTGTACTGTTTCCCTTTAATTTGGTCTCTCTATTCTAGTCTTGAAGATATGAAATGCCCTTGACCTATATTGCTATTTTTTTGCCTTAATGGTGGCCTTATAAGATGGTTGGAGATTATTCTTTTGCTATTTAGGAAGGAAGTATTCTGTGGTTAGTAGCACTAATTCTTTCTTTCTTCAAAGTTCTAAAATGTATGTTGAAGAAATAATGTGAATTTAGAGAAGAAATGATCTTGTGTGTTTTTCTACCTCAAACCACTGAATTAGGGCTTGTAGAGAGCCATGATGCATTTGGGAAGTGAAGTTTATCAGAGATATTTGTATGTTTAACCATGTGGTGTTGTAAGATAAGATTATGATCTACTAAATGATTTCTTGACTTTACATTCACTTAATAAATTGAGTGTCTGAAGGTGTGATGATAAATCTGAAAAAATATTTAATTATTACAGATAAGAGCAGCTGGGACTTGGAGGTGCTTAATTCACTGGAGGATGGATCAACCTCCCCTGTCGACCTTCTTTCTCTCATCAAAATTCTTGGCAAGGAAATTTCAACATGCGAAAGCCTCTTGAAGGATGAACTCGAGAAAAGAAAACGATACAAGGTACACTTGGCATTTTCATTTGCAGAAGTATCTTGTATGAACTTTTTTTTTTTTTTTTACTACATTAATTTATTTGTATTTAGACATCTCGTAAATATTTTTCATTATAGTATTTTAACCCATTGGATCCGGATGGTTTGCCGACATCAGTAACCCAAAATACTGGCATTATGCTTACTTGGGTAGTTACTCTGATGGGTGTTTGGCTTGTAGGTCATGCACACGTGAACACCTTGTGTGCTGTAACAAGACTCCACACCTCTTCTTTGCAATGTGTTTTTAGGTTTTTTGCCAATTGCCAATGTCTATATTTATTATTAGTTTTGCTTTATCCAGATAGATGGCAATACTGTTTCCCTTGCACAGACTCTATATCATATCTCTAGGTAGTCCATAACTCAGTGCAATAATACTAAGTAACATTTTGTTATTAGTTTAATTCCCCCCCCCCCCCCCCCCCCCCCCCCCCCCCCCCCCCCCCCCCCCCCCCCCCCACCCCCCCCCCCCCCCCCCCCCCCCCCCCCCCCCCCCCCCCCCCCCCCCCCCCCCCCCCCCCCCCCCCCCCCCCCCCCCCCCCCCCCCCCCCCCCCCCCCCCCCCCCCCCCCCCCCCCCCCCCCCCCCCCCCCCCCCCCCCCCCCCCCCCCCCCCCCCCCCCCCCCCCCCCCCCCCCCCCCCCCCCCCCCCCCCCCCCCCCCCCCCCCCCCCCCCCCCCCCCCCCCCCCCCCCCCCCCCCCCCCCCCCCCCCCCCCCCCCCCCCCCCCCCCCCCCCCCCCCCCCCCCCCCCCCCCCCCCCCCCCCCCCCCCCCCCCCCCCCCCCCCCCCCCCCCCCCCCCCCCCCCCCCCCCCCCCCCCCCCCCCCCCCCCCCCCCCCCCCCCCCCCCCCCCCCCCCCCCCCCCCCCCCCCCCCCCCCCCCCCCCCCCCCCCCCCCCCCCCCCCCCCCCCCCCCCCCCCCCCCCCCCCCCCCCCCCCCCCCCCCCCCCCCCCCCCCCCCCCCCCCCCCCCCCCCCCCCCCCCCCCCCCCCCCCCCCCCCCCCCCCCCCCCCCCCCCCCCCCCCCCCCCCCCCCCCCCCCCCCCCCCCCCCCCCCCCCCCCCCCCCCCCCCCCCCCCCCCCCCCCCCCCCCCCCCCCCCCCCCCCCCCCCCCCCCCCCCCCCCCCCCCCCCCCCCCCCCCCCCCCCCCCCCCCCCCCCCCCCCCCCCCCCCCCCCCCCCCCCCCCCCCCCCCCCCCCCCCCCCCCCCCCCCCCCCCCCCCCCCCCCCCCCCCCCCCCCCCCCCCCCCCCCCCCCCCCCCCCCCCCCCCCCCCCCCCCCCCCCCCCCCCCCCCCCCCCCCCCCCCCCCCCCCCCCCCCCCCCCCCCCCCCCCCCCTTGTGTGGTAGTTTAACTCGGTCGTTTATCACAACAGTTCAGGCTCAGAGGAGTAGGCAAAGGAGCAGTTGTCCCTACTCCTTTGCCTGTGTAGTAAAGTGTCAAGGAATTGGTAGTAAGTAGGTATGATGATATGTCCTTGAGCATTCTCTGTTTGTACTGTTTCCCTTTAATTTAGTCTCTCTATTCTAGTCTTGCAGATATGAAATGCCCTTGACCTATATTGCTATTTTTTTGCCTTAATGGTGGCCTTATAAGATGGTTGGAGATTATTCTTTTGCTATTTAGGAAGGAAGTATTCTGTAGTTAGTAGCACTAATTCTTTCTTTCTTCAACGTACTAAAATGTATGTTGAAGAAATGATGTGAATTTTGAGAAGAAATGATCTTGTGTATTTTTCTACCTCAAACCACTGAATTAGGGCTTGTAGAGAGCCACGATGCATTTGGGAAGTGAAGTTTATCAGAGATATTTGTATGTTTAACCATGTGGTGTTGTAAGATAAGATTATGATCTACTAAATGATTTCTTGACTTCACATTCACTTAATAAATTGAGTGTCTGAAGGCGTGATGATAAATCTGAAAAAATATTTAATTATTACAGATAAGAGCAGCTGGGACTTGGAGGTGCTTAATTCACTGGAGGATGGATCAACCTCCCCTGTCGACCTTCTTTCTCTCATCAAAATTCTTGGCAAGGAAATATCAACATGTGAAAGCCTCTTGAAGGATGAACTCGAGAAAAGAAAACGATACAAGGTACATTTAACATTTTCATTTGCAGAAGTATCTTGTATGAACTTTTTTTTTTTTTCTTTACTACATTATTTCATTTGTATTTAGACATCTCGTAGATATTTTTCATTATAGTATTTTAACCCATTGGATCCGGATGGTTTGCCGACATCAGTAACCCAAAATACTGGCATTAGGCTTACTTGGGTAGTTACTCTGATGGGTGTTTGGCTTGTAGGCCATGCACACGTGAACACTTTGTGTGCTGTAACAAGACTCCACACCTTGTCTTTGCAATGTGTTTTTAGGTTTTTTGCCAATTACCAATGTCTATATTTATTATTTGTTTTGCTTTATCCAGATAGATGGCAATAGACTGTCTCCCTTGCACAGACTCTATATCATATCTCTAGGTAGTCCATAAGTCAGTGCAATAATAATAAGTAACATTTTGTTATTAGTTTAATCCCCCCCTCCCCCCCACACACATAATAATCAGTTTTTTGTTAAACAACTTGAGCTGCTAGTCAGTGCGGCCAGGAATAGGATCCAGAGCATGGAAATAACATCCTCCCTGAAGCCAGCACTCTTCCAGTCATGGCTCACATATGATACATTCCGAACTTATTGAAATGAAAAGCCACTTCCTAAACACCATATCAGTCTAATCACCCTTCAAGTGATTTCTGCACACGTAATGAGTCATTCCTGCTACCTCAGCCTTCAGCTGAAATACTCACGCAGGCTAGTTTGTATCATTCCGGCCTACAGCCAAATTTTTCCATGATGGGATGTTTGACCTGCCCCACAAGCCAAAGTCTTTCATGATGTAATGGTCACGTCATCCGGATCGTAGGGATTAAAAAGAAAATTAAAGATTGTAAGATGATATAAATATTCTGAACTTTCTGTATTTTAACCCAATGGTGACGAGTGAAGAAAAAAAAACAAAAAAACTCTATGCTCTGGCAAACAATGGTGGCGTGCCAACTTTGAGCGCGTGAGTTTGGTACATCAGCCCGAATCACTGGCTTGCAGCCACGGCGTACAGCCGCATGCCAGCTTTCAAGTGGTTTGTTTTCACACCTATCGGCGTCACCCGTTCAGGAAGGGGTTAAGAGCCTCATCAGATTTGATTAATCTCACAGTTTTATTAAAGGTCTTGGATGTTCAGATGTACTATACTGTAAAGTTTATAATTTTCAAAACATGGTCTTACCAGTCAAGTAATTTGTTAAACAGATTTCTTTTCATCTGACATATCTAACTTTTTATCCTGAATTAACAGATAGATGATAGTCGAAGAACACACAATTATGACCAGTTCATCATTACATTTCTGGCCATGCTTGCTGAACAAGGGAAGATAGGAGACCTTGTTAAACAACAGATGCAGCCCTCTCGCAAGAGACCAGCTCCTACACCAGCCACTCCTCGAGGATCTAGGTTTGTTTGCAAAGTGACAAAAGTAAAAATTCACTAAAGTTACAAGATTCTGATAACTTCAGTTTATGATGCAGTAGGGCTTTTAGAATACATTCCAAATCAGTAGAACAGTACAGTGATTAGCAAAAACAGAACTAAGTAATATGTGCACTAAGATGAAATGTAACTATAATAAGAAAGGAATAACAGATTGTGAATTAAGTGAGATTGGATTTTACACCAGAAGGCGTGTCAGTTTTTTTCTGTGGAGTCTAGTCAGATTTGAAACATCACAGTTTATTGTCTCTTATGGTAATTGGGTTTTATTGCATTATTTTGATTGTTAAGAAAAAAAGTTGTTTTATATAGTCTTACCTGATGTATAATCTTTACATATTCTCTAAAGAAAATATCTTTATCTCATATCATATTATACTGATAAATATCTTAAAACCTACACTGTTTTACATTTCCAGGCCACCATTAAAGAAGACAGAGTCAAAGTCATCTCCCAACTCTAGAAAACGAGGCAGAAAGAAAAAGGCTAAAGGAAAAAGGAAGAGATAAATGATAGTCCAGCTGGAATGTCATAAGGAAAAGAAATTGCATCTCATACAAAAGCACTTTTATGTAACATAAAATGTTTAAAGGGTACTAGAATTGGGCAAAGCTCCTAATATTTAATAAAATCTGATATTGAACACAATCAAATAAATTCTATAATAATTAACAAGTTTGTATATGCATTTCCCTTTTCGTTTTCTCACAATAGAAATCAGATTCCTCTCTATCTACAGAGCACAGTCACATGCCTAAATATTTTTTTTATTTTTTATTTTTTTCGTATATATACACTGTAGCCATATTGAAAGCACCTGCATCACAATGTATATATATATATATATATATATATATATATATATATATATATATATATATATATATATATATATATATATATATATATATAGTAATGGTCCTTCTGTTGAAGAAAGTACATAAAAATGTTCACGCAATGATAAGATTGAAGATTAATAAGCGACACTTTATTTATATGTAACATAAGTGATATCAATTGCACAAATGCATGAGCAGTTTTGAGAAAATAAGCCTTTATGAGATAATTTCAGTTGTGATGATGTGAAATACCATGCAAAACTCTTATTCAATTTTAATGTACATAATCACAGGGTGGGAATCACAGAATTAGCTTCAGTAATAATATTTTTTGAGTATGGCCAATGCATGTAGCAATGTACTCGGCATACCTGTGTAGTATAACCTAATGCACCTTAACAAGAATTATTATAGACACTAAAGATCTGAATTTAGAATGAATTCTCTCTCTAGGTTGTTTAAATTACTAAATTTAGGATTCTAAATAAACATGCAATACAAAATAAAAGCATCTTGAAATTACAAAAAGCAAATGTCTTAACAATTAAATTAAATGACAATGATACATATTTCCAAAATATATGTGGTGCTATTAGTGACAAAATGCTGGAAATCTATCAAACTTACTTATGTCAAAATACAGTTCTCCAAGGAAGATAATACAAGGCAAAATGGTGGAAAATATGTATATGAATTTTTCATATTTTTCTGGAAAAAAGTCACACTTCCATCAGTGACTTTAATAACGTGTACAGGGATAGAAAGAAATCCTAAATTTGGCTTATAACTTAAGACTAAGTAAATCTCTGAATTTATATATAAAATAACAAAACAGTCATCATGATTTTGTATGATCTGATTCTCCTACCTATAAAATTTCTTGTTCTTGTCACCTTCAAACAATTCATATTTTTCCTCTCTTTCAATACATGGCATTATAAGTTTATTAACAAAGCTATGAACTAGATTAAAGGATTTTGGGTGAGACAATATGAAAAATTATGGTGCTGGTTATTTTTTTCCTATTGTATCCATGATCTGCTCTCACATAATATCACAATTCACAACCAAAAAGCTACACAATGAGGATATAAGCAAACTTTCACTGCCTGGACATAGCTTGCAGTAAAGCATTAAGAAGCTGCATCAAATAGAAAATAAAACAAGCACAATCTAAATAAACTAATATTGTGAATGCCGTTTCATCTTAATTCAACTCACGAGCACCTAATGATTTCAGCTTACAGATTCATATGAAATATTCAAATAAAGTCACTATGTTTACTTTTACCTTTACTGTAATTCAAAATGAAAATATAAATGAAACTACCAATTAATATTATAGTCATACAATCACACAGCATAAAAAATGGACATCTATATATATGTAAATTCATTTTGTATAAAAAAGCTGTCATAAAATCATTAACACTACTTTCTTATAAATGCCAGGTAAGAAAATTACTGTTGCATAAGAAATATAAGTTTTCAGTACCACTTATACATGTTCTTACCACTCACAATTCCATGTGATAGAATAAACAAAAATAGGATGCACACTTCATGTTCCTGGAAGAGGACTTCAGACTGCAACTCAAATGACTGTGGTACTAAACGCTTTTTCCCTACATGGGCTAAATCCATTTAATGTAAGCTGCAAATGTTAGGCAATATCTTTAAAACCTCAATATGCTAAACTATCAAAACAAACACTGCTACCATTGTGCTGTTATCTGCATTTACATATGAATAAAGTACTAAATGGCCTTTTAACAGCTAATATAGCTGATATTACCAAAATGATGATATACTAGTACAAGAACAGAAAATATAATAATTTGCCTGCTATAGGGTAAGTTTAGCTTATCAAAGCCCTAAAAATACACCTCTTTGTGTTTCATTGTTTTAAGATGGGAGGGTTTAAGACATGACAAGATATTTGAAGTAAGTGTTAATAAATGTTCATCAACCATAGCAGTCTTTACATCATATATATGATAGCTTACTGACTTAACATGCAATTCTATTTCCAACTGTGCTATGTATTAAGTTGCATTTTTATTTTAGGCTGACATAATGTGAACATATTTAAGCATGTAACATTTTTTTATTTATATAAGCTGCATCAGATATGTAAAATAATGACATTTACTGTAGAAAATTCAGACAACAAAAGGTTTTGTGAAGGTTTTGCTAGTCAGCAGTTTTGTTATAGAACACTTTGAAAATATTAAAGAAAGGAATTGTCAAAAATTCTTTCAGTCTTATTAGATTCTTATCAAGATTAAGAGTTAATGCAATTTAGGCATTACTAAACCTTTACAGTGAGAGGAACTTCTTATCATTCCAAGGCAAGCTAGTGAACACTGCTCATCATTTGAGTTTAAGCTCTGGTATATTTTGAAAGCCAGTCAAATATCATATCCTAAGTACAGCAACTTTCATCAATGCTCCATTTTAACAGGATTGAAGCCATATTCACTTATGATGTAAACAGATATTGTTTACATTAAATATTAATGGTTTTGGTAGCTGTGCTACATGGACCTGGTAATCATATAATTTAATTTTTTACTTACTTTACTAATCATGGACATTTTGCACTAATCTTACTCAAGTTTTCTTTGAAAAGCTTTCATCTGCCTAGATTTAGTTGTGATGTGGCTTGGGGATAAAGAAGCAAAATGTGACATTTTCTAGCTACCATTACAATGAAATGCTGAGTGGAACCAACAGCTTAATGTAATTAAATCCTGGAACACTTTTTAGAGTGACTTATTGCTTCTGATAACTTATGGTGGTTGATGTCAAGTTCTTTCAGTTGTCACTAATACTAATATGAACAAAGAGAGCAGAAGGTGCTAATGACTTGCTTCCCAGGTCAGTTAAATGGACAAATCTATAGCCTGTAACAAAAAAGAAAACAAACATTAGATACTTATCTCTTTCACATAGTTATATAAGTTTGTCATTATTTCATTGCAAAGTAAATCATCATAATAAATTAACTGCCTCAATCTCTTACCTGTAGTGAGAGAGTTGAATGGAATACAGCACAAAGCAAGAACTGGATCTCGAGCAAGTGAACTCTCATCACGAAGTGAAAAGTATATCAAAGAAACATGAGGTACTTTTATACGCAGCTCTAAAGTCTCATTCCATACTGGATTAAAGCCTGAAAAAGTGATGTGTTATGTAAAATGAGTGCATGAAAAAGTAAAATAATGTAAATTTTTTTCATTAATACTATTACTAATGACAATAAAAATTTAAAATGTATCATGGAAAGTGGTTAAATAACTTTTGATGTAAAGATTCATTTATATTTTGGCCAAAATAGTGCAAAAACTTTACAAACTTACCATTATTTTTCACTACTTTAGTTCGCTGCTTCTGTTTATCTAGAGGATGACCGCGGACCTTAACCTGCACATAAGGATCCACAATATCTCCCTTTTTGGCTGAGTTTGGAAGGTGCTGCCCACTAAGAACTGTCACACGGATGACTTTAGTGTACCTGAAAAAAAGGAAAAGCATTAAAAAAAAAAAAGAAAAGAAAAAAAGAAAAAAGCATTGTGCAAAGAAACATTAGGAAACCTTCAACCCTATTTAATATATCAAATCATATATGCTTTTTCCTTACTGATCCTCGTCTAACAGTGAGAAAAGAAAGGAATATGACAAAACTAGTCCTTAATATCAGACATCATTTGTTACTTCACTCACTTTGAAATTAACCCTTACAACGGTACCATAGTCATGTGCCTCAGTTAATGGAAGTGAATAAGGGATATTTTTAATTGGAGTTATGTAAACTTTTAGTGGGTATATCATACATTTTGTGCTAAATGTACTAGTCACCCTTAACTTCATTTCATGCAATGAATAATAAAAACTTTGTGCTAACTAGGGAATTATACAAAAATTATCCTAGCCTTTTGAAAAACAAACTAAAACATTTTCATTTAAGAGACACAGCACAATAAGTCACATAAACCAACCCACTGCTACTAGGAAAATGTATCATTCAATGTAAGTTTCATTTGTGCAGTGTGTTTACTACGCATAGATGGCTCCATAAGTGTTCCCACCAAGGAGTCAATTAGCGTTGATCTGATTTCCCCTTTGAGTTTTTGGGAAAAATGTTCTTTTCAAATGCTATTAATACTGATACTGTCAGTATTATTATCATGTTGATTACTAAGTTATATCTGACTATGGTATTCGTAATGTTATCAACAATGCTACTGACATAATTTAAAATAATGTCAAGAAATCTGCAGTAAATTACCTATCAGACAGTTCTGAAGGGCTGTATGGCTCCTTTTTAAGAAGAATGTCTGGCTTAAGTACATAACCACAGTTGGCATTACTCTTGAAAAGGGCATCATTGTAGAAATTTGCTTTATCCTCCGTCTGCATGTTCAGGGCAACTGAAAAAATAGAGTTAACATGAAACAGCTGCATCTTTCATGCTTCAATATTCTTAAAATGTATTAGGAGATAAATTTCATGGAATAACATCAAATACCATTTCTCTCTTCTATATACATATGGCTCCATCTGTATATATATCATATATACCTTTAACTATTCCTAAATCTATATCTATCAGTCAATGAATCTCTCTCTCTCTCTCTCTCTATATATATATATATATATCCATATATGCCAATAAATAAATATAAATTTATTATATATATATATATATATATATATATATATATATATATATATATATATATATATATATATATATATATATATATATATATATATATATATATATATATATATATATATATATATATATATATATATATATATATATATATATATATATATATATATATATATATATATATATATATATATATATATCTATATATATATATATAATATATATATATATAATATATATATATATATCTATATATATATATATAGATATATATATATATATAGATATATATATATATAGATATATATATATATATCTATATATATATATATCTATATATATATATATCTATATATATATATATCTATATATATATATATAGATATATATATATATAGATATATATATATATATCTATATATATATATATCTATATATATATATATAGATATATATATATATATCTATATATATATATATATATATCTATATATATATATATCTATATATATATATATATCTATATATATATATATAGATATATATATATATATTATATATATATATATAGATATATATATATATATATATAGATATATATATATATATCTATATATATATATATCTATATATATATATATATAGATATATATATATATATTATATATATATATATCTATATATATATATATCTATATATATATATATATAGATATATATATATATATTATATATATATATATCTATATATATATATATAGATATATATATATATAGATATATATATATATAGATATATATATATATAGATATATATATATATAGATATATATATATATATAATATATATATATATATCTATATATATATATATATCTATATATATATATATCTATATATATATATATAATATATATATATATAGATATATATATATATATCTATATATATATATATAGATATATATATATATAGATATATATATATATATAGATATATATATATATAGATATATATATATATAGATATATATATATATAGATATATATATATATATATATCTATATATATATATATCTATATATATATATATATCTATATATATATATATAGATATATATATATATAATATATATATATATAGATATATATATATATATAGATATATATATATATAGATATATATATATATAGATATATATATATATAGATATATATATATATAATATATATATATATAATATATATATATATAGATATATATATATATAGATATATATATATATATAGATATATATATATATAGATATATATATATATATTATATATATATATATCTATATATATATATATCTATATATATATATATATCTATATATATATATATCTATATATATATATATATCTATATATATATATATCTATATATATATATATATATAATATATATGTGTGTGTGTGTGTGTGTGTGTGTGTGTGTGTGTGTGTGTGTGTGTGTGTGTGTGTGTGTGTGTGTGTGTGTGTGTGTGTGTGTGTGTGTGTGTGTGTGTGTGTGTGTGTGTGTGTATCATATGTATCATATATATCATATACATCCATCCATACATCCACCTATCCATCTACCTTTACTACATAAAGCATAAAATCAGTGTAACCCACATATAATTAAACTGACAAAAAAAAAGATAATAACACACATATCTATGGAAACATACAAAAACATTTTTTGGCAAAAACAAATAATCAAAGTACAATAATACTCTTGCGATATCCCTCCCCATGAAGTGTCTATCTAACCACAGAGATAAGAAAAAAAAAATCATACAAGATATTCTATGACTGCTAATACACCAGCTCTACTGCAAGCCTATCCTTACAGTAGATACATGTATTTTTTACTGTATTTCTGAGAGTTGTTAGTGGCATTTACAGAGCCAGAATAATGATTACAGAAAAAAAATGCAGTTTCACAAATTTATGCAAATGCTACTACACGAAAAAAACAGATTGCTTGGACTGCTTGTTGAAGGCTCAGTCTGGAATTCAAAAGCACACATAATTTTGAACTAGAACAAAGTCTCTAAGTATTTTTCTTATCTTTCTTATTTTCTAATTTTCTTGCTTTACTGGGATATACAGACTGACACACACAGAGTTCATATGATATTATAACTTATGTTATTCAATGTATTTTGCATTTTGAACAATAACTCACACTGCCAATAACTTGCACTAAGAAAAAACTGCATAAAAGTAATTGACAGATTAATTTTGGCAAAAAAACTAAATAAAAGAATTACCTTCAGTTTTGGGAGAAAAACTTTATACAAGTCAATCTCATTTTCCTTACTTTTCTCATGAGAGTAAAACCACAAATACAAGTATACATGTATACAGAAAGACTTTTGACCCCTTCCAAAAAAATTGTAAAACATATATTTTGTAACAATCCTGAATCTGGCTAATATCCTTATCAATTGTAATGCAAATTTCCTCTTCAAGTATAAAGTCATCTATAGCTATAATAACTAGGCCATCTAAGGTAAGACATTATAGCAAAATTGACCTTAAAATCACAGTATAACTTTTTCTATTATATAACTACACTATATTCAGTAAGATCAAATAACATTTTATAGAATTAGATATGTATTTGTTCATGGAGTAAAATACTATATTGAAAAATAATGGTCATGTCTATATTGGTTCCTGACACTTTTTATAGTCTATTTTTTCTCCCTTTTGTTGGGTTCTGGAGAGATTCTTTTATTTAATTTTAATACCTTATTGTTATTAGTATTTTAATATCATAATAATCACAATGTCAATAAAAATGATATGAATGAAGTGTGTGTATTTACTTAATAAATCAATATGATCTCTTTCATTTTGCAAGACTATTTCAAGCTACCTTAAGTAGAAGACAAATTTACAAATCAACAACTTATAAAACAAATAATCAAACTCCATATGATACTGTACAACAAGCTCCACTACAAGTACAGTAACTGAAAACTACACCACAGCATCAACAATGAAAAATCAACATTATACAAAAGAATTTCACTTTCTTTAAAAAAAAACTTACCCATCCATCCTGAATGTCAGTAACAAAAACAGAAATATATTGATTTCAATAAAATGAAACAAAATATTGATGACAAAGATAAGAAAAGGTAACATCCTACGGACTAAGGAAAATGTCTACGCTTAATGTCCACATCACATGTTACGAAAGTAGAGAGAGCAGCCCATGCTCTTTGACGATTAAGAGAATAGAAACAAAGAAGGAAAACAGAGGAAGAAGATGGATCATGCCACACACAAATCAATGTTGTCATATCCCACATATAATTTTTTTTTTTTTGGTCTTCTAAATTTCCAACTGCAATGCCAGAATCCAAATGAAAAAAGATAAGAAGAGAAAAAAGGTTTGGATAACTATACTAGTGACTCATCAAAGCAAGCAGGTAAAAAGAAAAAGAAAACTCGAATCATAAAACACGCCAATTCGCAAGGATGGGCAGATCTGTACTACCTGTGGCTGAGACATCCTGCGCTTCTTTGTGGAACTTTGTTTTCGCTTCTTAGAGCTCTTGAAAGAGCGGTAGAGAGTCAAAAGGTGAGGAGTGAAGAAATCCTAGTTGAGTAATAGGAAAAAAAAAAAAAAAAGACAAAGCTTTTACAGAGTGGATGGACAATTTGTAGCCGCATAAACACATCACCTACTGGAGCTTGAGGTCTGGAGTCTGCTAAACTATTCATACAAGCAGTCTACACGTCTGATGGAAATACAAAGTATTGGAATCTTGAGTGTTAGTACGAGCAGCCATAAACTCCTCGATGGATGAAAAATGCCAAATGAGAAAAAGCAAAATGTGTGCGCAAAGGCCATCTACAAAATGCATTGGGGGCTACATCCAAAGCTTATGTACACGGGATAATATACTCATTAATGTATACCTGGTAATAGTAGCATGCCAGCTAGAGAAACAAATGACAAATCTCAGTTAGATTTCAATTATCTTTCTTACTTTAAAGTCTTTCTGATAACGAGAGTGGAACCTTTGACGAGAAAAAAAAATATATGAAATAAATTTCGTCACACCATTTGTTAATACAATATCTATCTGTATAAATTCAATTATCTTCTGATATTTTATCAATTCCTTTGTATCTATCTAAAAAAATATTTAAGTTACAAAAGAAAGTTGTAATTCCCTCAGTAAAAGGTATAAGTTCCTTCAAGACAGCTGAAAGAAAATGGTCTCACCTTCTTTGACTGTGCTGCCCCGTCGTCACTGTCTATGTAATCAATGCTGTCCTGGTCATCGTCATCTTCATCGTCATCCTCCACTTCTGAGCCTATGATAAAAAAAAACAATTGTCCGTTATACATATGCACATGTACATAAACTACATATAGACATTCTCACACATACATGCATATCATATATATATCTATATCTATCTCTCTATCTATATGTTCATAAATAAATACAAACAAACACACACACACACACACACACACACACACACACACACACACACACACACACACACACACACATACACACACATACAAATGTGTATATGTATCTATATCATTATTCATATCCATGATTATATCTATATCTATCTATATATAAACCTTTTTCTTTCCTTCTTTTATTTCTTTTCTTGGATATGTAATCTTTATGCAAGTTATCATATACCATTCAAAATGGTCTGAATGTTTTCTCTTCTTCCTAGGAAAAAAGAATGTAAGTATTCCTGAAACATGCATTCAAAAGAGAAAGAGAAAAAAAAATCAATAACTAAATAAATGTAACAGACATAAATGCATATACTGGGAAAAAACGTGAGGGCCAAACCTTTCATTATTGCAAGCAAATACTCAACCCCAAAAATAGTTGAAAATGCAATTTTACAACTAACTACTGAGAACTACCTAAGTGACTATCAACATTTCAAGAAAAAGAGTAATGTACTACATCAAAAACTATATCAACAATATCAGAGACTCAAAATCATAAAGCTTATCATTCACATTCGACAAGTATTTCAATCACTATTTCTCAAAATATAATAAGTATCCTTCATTTACTAGTCAATCTGATTGATAAGCAGCCATTTTAAATTATAACGTCTATCTTCTGTGGAAAAAACACACGTTATCTATAGTAAAATTTTTTGGTCTTGAGGAATGATGTTCCATAACACTTAATTCATACCTCAGATATGATGCCATGCAAGTAAAATCAGATAGAAAAAAAAAAAAAAAAAAAAAAATTTACTGAAAACCAAATAATGCACATAACAATGTTCCTAAACTAACTTGGGTATCTGACCAAAAAGATGCATTCCCGAGAGGGTCAAATATTCATCAAAATGCAAACAAAAAATGGAGGGGGCTGACTGGTAAAAGAGGAGAGACTTAAAAAAAAAAGTATCCTAAATTTCATGTCAAAACCAGGGCTCATGTCCATGCACGTACGCTAGGCCACGACTCACTGTACAGCAAATGATCTGTTTGTTCATCAGGAGTCTCTGGTGTTTGAGGTAATAGCAAGATAAATAAAAGAGGAATTATGGCCTAGCATTTTAAAAATTATGTAATTTTTCAGGGGAATTAATCTAAAATTTTATATATGCACAAACTTGGTTAAACTCAATTGCCAACTATTATTACTACTTATTAAATGGTTGGTCTCAATAATATTATTCAAATGCATCCTGTGAACCCTCCCAAAAAAGATTTTTTTCTTTATACATATTTTCTCTCACTTTTGCACATTAGTCATATTATAAGAAACTTCACTGAAATAGTAGGGAAAAATAATTCACCACAAAATACAAGAAATTTATATACGGAAAAAAATAGTCAATCTTGGATAAAAATACATGTTGAAAAATTGGTCACTCATATTCATATGATGTACTTTACATCATAAACAAGTTATAATCAGTTATAGTGTTATATTAAATACCAGCCTTGCTACGCACCTTTTGGTTTCTTGGCACGGATGATAATTTTGTTCTTGAGAGCTTCTGGTGAGGGTATAACAGTAATGTCGTCTGGGACTGGATCCGTTGCCAGCATATCTATAAAGGAATTAATATAAAAATCTATACATATATCAGCAACATAAACAGATAAGTAACTGTTCCTGTACCCTAATATGTTAAAGTAGTATATATTTATATTAGGTTCAACATGAAAGTAAAGAAAGTTATCACAAAGGTAATTCTGTCATATCACTACCATAATATATCACAAAGGTACTTGTTACATCTGACATTAGACTTTATCATCATATCTAAACGAGTATCAAAATCTGAGAAACTTAGCAATATTCATCATCTGGGCTTCTTATTCCCTATATGTCAAAAGAACTTTCAGCTTTACCTCCTAGAATATCCTTCATAAGCTTCACCATTGTCCTCTGCTGATCCAGACTGAGATGGTTCTCTATTGAGAGGATGACGGGGTAGGGTGATGCCTCAAACGCATACAATTTGATGCCGTCTCTGAGAACATCAGCTAAGGTGATCTTTGAGGTCAGAGAAAGAAAGAAAAAAAAAAAAAAAAAAAAAAAAAAAAAAAGTATCCTAAATTTCATGTCAAAACCAGGGCTCATGTCCATGCACGTACGCTAGGCCACGACTCACTGTACAGCAAATGATCTGTTTGTTCATCAGGAGTCTCTGGTGTTTGAGGTAATAGCAAGATAAATAAAAGAGGAATTATGGCCTAGCATTTTAAAAATTATGTAATTTTTCAGGGGAATTAATCTAAAATTTTATATATGCACAAACTTGGTTAAACTCAATTGCCAACTATTATTACTACTTGTTAAATGGAAAGGTCTAAATATGGTTGGTCTCAATAATATTATTCAAATGCATCCTGTGAACCCTCCCAAAAAAGAAGATTTTTTTTTTTATACATATTTTCTCTCACTTTTGCACATTAGTCATATTATAAGAAACTTCACTGAAATAGTAGGGAAAAATAATTCACCACAAAATACAAGAAATTTATATACGGAAAAAAGTAGTCAATCTTGGATAAAAAGACATGTTGAAAAATTGGTCACTCATATTCATATGATGTTCTTTACATCATAAACAAGTTATAATCAGTTATAGTGTTATATTAAATACCAGTCTTACTACGCACCTTTTGGTTTCTTGGCACGGATGATAATTTTGTTCTTGAGAGCTTCTGGTGAGGGTATAACAGTAATGTCATCTGGGACTGGATCAGTTGCCAGCATATCTATAAAGGAATTAATATAAAAATATATACATATATCACCAACATAAACAGATAAGTAACTGTTCCTGTACCCTAAAATGTTAAAGTAGTATATATTTATATTAGGTTCAACATGAAAGTAAAGAAAGTTAACACAAAGGTAATTCTGTCATATCACTACCATAATATATCACAAAGGTACTTGTTACATCTGACATTAGACTTTATCATCATATCTAAACGAGTATCAAAATCTGAGAAACTTAGCAATATTCATCATCTGGGCTTCTTATTCCCTATATGTCAAAAGAACTTTCAGCTTTACCTCCTAGAATATCCTTCATAAGCTTCACCATTGTCCTCTGCTGATCCAGACTGAGATGGTTCTCTATTGAGAGGATGACGGGGTAGGGTGATGCCTCAAACGCATACAATTTGATGCCGTCTCTGAGAACATCAGCTAAGGTGATCTTTGAGGTCAGAGTGTGGCCGTGGTAGATAATTGGTTCTCCATCATCTCCATCCCAGAGGTCCACTGCATGAAAGATCATTGTATATATTAAGATATGTAACTTTTAATCATCAAAAAATTTTCATTTAGAAATGTGTTGTCAAGATATACAGCTATTATGTTAGGCACAATAGATATATGCACCACATATACCTTCTTTATGCTTGAAAAGAAAAGATAGAAAGAAAGAAAGAAAGAGAAAAAGAAAGAAAGAATTAGAGTACTCACACTCAAGCAGCCTACAGCCTCGTTTCAGTGCACTGATGTACCCTTCAACACTGCTCTCTCCAGCAAGCTGATGCCCTGTCAGGTACCTGTAATGAAAGCAGAGATCTAATGATGTTCAGAGTATCAAATAAACCCCTTAGATCTAGGTGATGTGACTGTCAATTCATGAAAAAAATCTGGCTGAGGGCAGGGTGATGTGAATATGCCATCCTGAAAAAAATTGTCTGAGGGTAGGGGTGATGGGCAGATTCTGCTATGAGAAATTTGGATGAAGCTTGGGTGACAGGAATAACTCGCCATGAGTGCACAAAGCTCCTGGAGGGTGATTAGATGCAATGGGTATTTGGGAAGGGGCTTAAGCATATTTCCATCAGTAAATCAGTGTGATATTCCCTGCTCCAAGAAAGATATTATCTCCAGGATCCTATTCCTGCTTGCCATAACCATCAGCACAGGATGTATTACAGAGGACTGACATAAATAACAAAATATTACTTATTGTTACTGTTATGGTTATTAATTACTAGAGAGACGATATGGACTCTGTGCAAGGAAAACATTTTATTACCATCTTGATACAACATATCAAAGAGCAACTATAGACCTTGGACTTTAGCAAAAAAGCAAAAACAGCTTACACAGAAAACAAGATAATAACGTTGTAAAAAGGAGGCTTGATAGTTTTATAAAGGTCACATTTCAGCACGCTAAACATTGCCAAACACTAAGAGAGTAGCACTCACGTATTGTGTGATGAGTCAATGAAATAATGTGACAATGGCTGAGTCATGTCCTGATGAATTTCATTCTGGTGGTTGCAGTTGAACACATCGATCATGTCCGAAAGCAGTAAGTGATAGAAACCTGAGTGAATAGAAAAAAATATACTTATTAATTACTATGAATCTTTGAAACAATCCTTCATGCTAAATATTCAGTCATCTTGCAGAATTAACTCATACAGGATTAAGCTATTACTGAAGTTATTTCCAGCTGATTTAACTAACGAGGAAATGATCCCTACCATCCTGAGTCATGTAGCCTTGGTCCTTAAGGTTACTAATTTCAAATTCGTTCATAAGCTTGGTAGCTTGACTATGATCATAGTCCGTAAGCCCCTGCTCTTTGTGAAGGAAGGCACATAGTTGGTCTGCACTCATTAACCCTGTCTTCTCACTACAATACCTGCAAAGAGAAAAATAAATCATTAATAAAAATAGACACAACAGACTGCTCAGAGTACAAAGAAGTACATGATACATCTCATGACTTTATTAGTTTTAGTATTGTTTATTATAGATGATAATTCATAATCTTTTAAACAAGCACAAGCATAAGCTATGGCAGACTAAGGTTACATCTTTGATATCTATATAATGAAAATTTGACAAACTCTACCACAATGAAGCTTAATTTTATTCCATTTTATAGAAAAAATGTGTCAAGACAAAAAAGAAAGACTGGTACCATTAAAAGATTTGAAACTGTGTCAACACAAAAGAAATACCGACGTCATTCAAAGATTTACGCCATATCTCCGCACTTACTTCTTATATAGTTTTTCAACCTCTGGCATTTTCAGGAGAGCATGATAGAAGGCCACAAATTCCTCTACCTCTAATACTTGTTCTCCATCTCTCTTCTGCTTGCTGGTGTTTGCTTGCTACAGAAAAAAAATCATAAATAAAAAAAATATATATATGTGTTCTCCAACTGTAAAAAAAATTACAAGAATCACTTAATTTTCTATACGATATGTGTATCCAAGGCAATGTACATTCTGGGTCTCTTATTTCTAAACGCAAAGTACATATAGTTGGATTACTTACATTGAAAAGTTTCTTGGCATGAATCTTGTCCATTTTAATATTTAGCTGCTTCAAGAGAGCACAGCATTCACTAAAATTAAGTGACCCATTATTGTCTTTATCAGCCTCCTCAAACTGCTTCCTTAGCCATCTGTGAGTGGAAAGATATTGTTAAAAAAATCTTATGTAACATTTAAAAGTGCAAAAAAGTGGATGTTAACCCACTGCAGGTGGTTAAATGTATAAAAGTTGACTGTTGTTTTCTTTCGTAAATTTTGTTGGCATAGTGATGGCTCCAAAAATGCATAAAAGAACCATGAAACCCATTAGTACATGACCTGAATTAATATCCCCTTTCCTATAGTTTTCAGGAAAAATGTGTTTCTAATGCTATTAATATTGTTTCAGTTATTATCATCACCTACATTATGATTACCATGAAGTTAATTTCACTAAAAAATTAAGAAGAATCTTTTCAAAATCAAGGAAAGGGGTAAACTGGTGGGATAGATAGGACTAATAACTGACTCTTTGGTGATTAAGCACTTGTGGAGCCATCTAAAATAAACAATACTGTGTATAGTAGAATGAAGAAGACTTTGGATATTCTGAACAAAATATCTGTTTACTTTCCCATTCAACACCTTTAACATAGTATAAATACAGATTTATTTAAATTGAATATAACAACCAGCTGAAACATATAACATAAATAAAAAAGTGCATAAACTGGAAAAAAATGATAAGATTTATAGTTATCAATAACTACCAAAATGACACATAACTCAACCTCCCTTGACAACTGACAGTTAATCAAATGCTTCTCAACCACAAGAGGAATCTAATTTGACTCAAAATGATGCAAACCAAATATTCTGTCTCACCATTAAAGCTCTTTCCTTTACTTTGATTCAAAATGTTGCAAACCAAATGTTCTGTCTCATCATTAAAGCTCTTTCCTCTCCTTTTGTTTCCTCGCATTACTGAGTCCGAGCTACTCACACGTCATACTGCTTCTCTTCGTGTAACGCTTTGACCGACTGAACGAGGTGCGACAGCCCAGTCACCCAGGCATCCCTCTCTTCTTCCGTTGATGCCACCAAGTCCAACACGTCTCTGCCTCCCTGGCCGTGGATGATGGAGAAGCACTTGTTCTCTTCCAGGACAGGCTCATCACCTGCACCTAATGGATATAAAATAACACTTTAAAATCCTTTCAGTGTATATATATATATTGCATAGTTTGATGATATGGAAAGTATTTGAAACAAAACAAAGTCCAACTAAATAAATGTACTAAGGTATGAAGAAGTATTATATCACAAAAACTACGATTAGTTTGTGGTTTCCATTTATATACTCACTTTAATAGAAATTTCTACGTTAAAGAGCTCTGCCCCACTACTTCACACTCATCACTTGAACCACTTAAAACTTTATTGCATTCCTTAACCTTCTTTTAATCCACCACATTTTTCTGTCAAATGACATTTCTTACTTGAGACTATGAGAATATTATCTAGTCTTTCCCATGAGATATAAATAACAGTTTTTATTCAAGACAACTTTGCCATTTATTATCGATTGTTCCTAGAATCAGTATAAAAAAATCTGTAACCACAAAATGTTACAGTTATAAATCAAGACATAATCTGAATACCTTTTGCAATATCTTGATATAATACTATGTATAATGAAAAATCCTAATATACTAAATTCAACAATATTTTATAAATGAGAGCTTCTAGATTAAAATATCATGAGTACAAATCTGACAAAAAGATTAGAAATGCATTCTTAAATAGGCTCATATGCGGCATCCGAAAGTAATACATCTACTGTAGCTATCAGTATTGGCTATTACAAAGAAACACAAGAAACATTTTCAACTATCATTTGAGGACTCCACCATATTAAAAAAATCTAAAATCTATACATGTGTTCTAAGTTTCACTTGCATTTCTTAAAAAAAACAACTCCGCTTTAATGTTTACCTCCACCCTTCTCCTTCAGCTTCTCTGTGTGAGAGCTTACTTTATTGAAGGTGTCTGTCTTCCATCCTTCCCTAATTTCTGTGATTTCTACAAGTGGCACTGTAACATGAAAAGAAATATGGAAATTATTAGTGTATCGTACAACACAAGTTCATACATGTCTAATTTTAGATGAATTATACTGATTTATTTACTTAATGAATTTGATTATCAATTAGATCTATGTAAATCATGCCTACACAGCACAAGTTAAATGTTAATTATCACTTAAGTTTAACTAGATTTATTTTTCAAAAAAGCTCTATCTTCCCACAAGTATATGGGCTTGTAAAGTGCACAGCATCAATCTAACTTCCATTATATATTCTGAAGAACTAACAAAAATATGAGAACCTACCAGCATAAAAGCTAGCTAAAATATACATGCCTACAGTAACAAATAAAGCAGATATTTGACCATCTATAAACTAGTGCTCTTCTCTCTAACAGGAAAACCGTTCCAAATGAAGGGAAATGTGAACACTTCCCAACATCTATTCACAGTCAATACATACATTACATTTGCAAAACAACTCCGAGCAAAGTGCAGAAGCAGATATAGTGTTATGGCTAAGGCAACGTGAATGAATATTAATCTCACTACAACCTGTTTCCCTTCTCGTGCTACTGCAATAGTGAGTGGCTTCTGACAGATTCAATTATCACTGATTAGTACTCTCTGATCTTTCACTTA